CCTTAATGGAAATCGGCTTTCTGCTGCGGCGCCGTTTTAAAGCGCCCTTCTGTTGCTGCGCTGTTGTCGCGGCAGTGATGATGCGCGATGATGACATCGCGGCTTTAGCAACGCGCTTATGTCTCCGCGGATAAGGGCTTCGCGGTTTTGTCATGCCACGGTGTACGGTTGGGGCCCAGACCGTTTAATTGCATTCATTTGCAATCCATTTCAGATTAAAATTCAGCAATTTCAGAGTCCAGAGATACACTGATGGAGAAGACCTAATGGGAATGGGAAACTATGAGAGCTCCATTGGCATCTTAGTGTCTGAAGCACTTTGGTCCAGCGAATCTTCTTGATTGGAATAGGAAGTCCCAATTCTTGCTTTCAGTTTCCTCATCAGTTTGGTGAGGCAGAAATCAAAGCCACCCGTCTCCTCAGCTTCTTCTGTTTTAAGGCTTCTACGTTATATTGGAATGCTCCCCATCTCCTGAAGCCTGTTTGTGGCTGACCTATTGACTCCTTTTGAATTATTTACGGGTGGGAATTAAGAGCAGCCTTGAAACAGAAACTTCATGAAGACATTTAGATGAATCATTTGGTGTGTGATGTTTGTATAGGTTCAGCAGTGCAATTGCGGCATATGGCTCAAGCTGTTTTCCCAAAAATTGATGTAGAGTTTGCACCCAGTCCTGACACGATCCTGTTTGGCTTTGACGGGATTTTCAGATGGCTTTTGGATTGTGGCCTGGAATCTCTGTGAAATCAGGAAAGGAGGTCAAAAGGGGTGGATTTGGTAAATAAATTAGTTCTGGGCCCTTTTTAATGACTGATCAAAAAAAACCTGGGACCTTATAAAAATGATCTTTGGAAATAGGTGTGAAAAATCTAGTTTCTAATATGACAGATATGATTGCATATGGATTTAGGTTTTGAACAGATGGAAATATCCTTGTGATGCCTTCACTCAGGTGTTTCATTCAACACTTTCCCACAAGGATCCTCCTCAGGGTAGAAGTAGGATGTGCAAGTGAGGAGAGATGATAACACCCCATGGTGCAAATGGGATTCTGTGAATGGATCTAACTCAGTGCTATTTTTAAGATCTGAAGAATGAAAATGAAAATCTCCATTTCAACATGGTTAATTAATATTTTTCACTCCAAAACCTCACAACTCCAAATAATTGTTGAAACAGTGGAAACAAATACATTTAAACACAGTCCAATCCCAAAATCTTTTATTAGAGATTACTAGAGCAATATTCTACTGATCTGGAAAGCTAAGCAGTGTCAACTCTGGTTAATTTACAGATGGGAGACCTCCATTAAGCTCTAGGACTGCAGGCTAGACTGGAACAAGGCAAAGGAAACCTCATTGCAATCTGGATTCCAATAAAACTATATGGATGCGTTCATGAAATTGCACAGTTAAACTTGACTTGAAGGAAGAGAAACTTTTATGATTTTTTGTTAGAAAATTCAGACATTATAGAAGAAGCGTAGAGCTTGCAGGCTTTCAGAATATGCAAACACTCACTTTCCTATTTTTATATATTAAAAAAACCTTATCTTTTAATGATTCTGGAATGACATGAAGAAACCCCCTCTTCTTTTTCACTGCTCCTCTATAGGTAATCAACTAACATCAAAGCAAGCATCTGCATTCTTCAAATGCCTCCCCCCTACTAAAATAAGTAAAAGATTGATCTTCCTTATTGTTAATAGCAATCTGCTAATAGGACCTTAGCAGCTGAAACAGAGATGGATGAGAGAGAGCATATAATCATGTGATTAAGGGGTATTCTTGTTTCAGGACTCATGTGACCATTCCCTTAGGGACTTTGAGATTGGCTGGTCCATTCTCTTGGTTATTCAGCCAGTAGCTTGCTAAGGGGGCTGGGGAAAAGGGGCTTTGGAACCCATCACACAGCCCTTTCACGCCCTCTAATGGAAAACTGAAGTACTGAAATGCAATTTTAAATAGAAAGAGAACAGACATGCCACTGATCCTATTGAGGTTTATGGACTGGTTTAAAATATAATATAAAAATGTGAGTAAATGGGAGAATTGTCTGAGAGGTGCAGAAATCCAGATATCTACTAAATGGAAGAAATCCCAGGACATTTAAAGAGAGTATCATATTGGGGAAGTGGACTCTTTTGATGCAAGAGTTTCTGTTGTACAGCATTCATTGTTGACCTTTCAATCACTCTGTCCAAAAACATGATTGAAGGAAAATACTCTCCTTTTCCTAAAAATATTTATATGCATATGGGCATTGTGTCATTATATTCTATTTTTTATCTTAGTTTTAAGACCCCATTCAGGTTGCCGTGTGTCCTTTGTTAGAATAATTCTAGGTCCAATCTATGATATGCATTTTCCCAATTGAGAATCGTTGAACTCAACCAAGATCATAAAGATGGTTCTTTCTGCAAGCATTCTAGCCTTCTGAGTACACTTTTTATCAAAGGGAAAGAAAAGTGGTTATGGGAATCAAAGAACACTAATACTTGGCCCATTTACATATCAGATAAAGCCTACAATTCGTAATCAGCCACTATACACATTGCAGTTCCTTTGAGCTTCATTCAGTGGCAAGGGATAACAATTCTGTTTTTAAATGTAACTTTTATGCCATGGTTATGGATTTCAAAACAAGTCTAGATTTGTAAACTTACTTTTAAATTCCTTATATAAAAGCATTTCAGTACAAATTAACATATAATGAGAAATATTTGAAAGTTATTTTCCACTTTCTCTCTGAATTATTGTAGGGCTTTTAAAATTACCTGCCTTTTTAGGGAAAGTTCACTCAAATTTTTTGATGTTTGTGGGAGGGAGGGTGGAAAGAGGGAGGAGAAGGAAGGAAGGAAGGGAAGGAAGGAAGGAAGGAAGGAAGGAAGGAAGGAAGGAAGGAAGGAAGGAAGGGATTTAAAAAGAAAATCCTGACTGCAGACTATTTTCTGTTACATTGCAAAAATATAGCTGACATCCTATCTGGTTCTGTTCTGCCTTTTTTATTATTTGTTTCACAGCCTCCTAAGCTCTCTCAGTTCTTGCTGAGCAGCACTATACCTCTGTAGTGAGATTCTTTGTATCAGCTCCACAAACATTCATGTCACTTGAGTTTTGTTTAGTCCAGCAGGCTCACAAGCTAAGTGAATTACTGCCAGAGGACTTCTAAAAAACAGACTAATGTATGCCAAGTTGCATTCACTCACATAGGAGAAATCGGTGATTCTTTTTTGTTTTTCAGTTACAAAGAAAGTCTTCAATTCCCTAGTGAAATTATCTAACCATTGTTCCTAGAGAGCAGATGCAGTCATTACATCCTGCAAAACCAGGAAACTGAGTTCTAATCCCACCTCAGGCGTGAAGGCCAGCTGGGTGACTTTGGGACAGTCATTCTCTGTCAGCTCACGGCATCCAGCTCAGGCGACAAGCCAATCGGTCA